CTGCACCAAGGTATCTGTTTCGTCAAGGGGACACAACCAGGATTCCTGAGTTCACTCCTGGGAGTATCATAGGGTTGCCAGCCTTCAGTTGGGGCCTGGATATCTCCCAGAATTACAACTGGTCTCCAGGAAGATAGGTTCGGGTGGGTAGCCATGTTGGTCTGAAGCAGCAGAACAAAGTTTTAAGTCCAATTAGGAAGAACTTGTTACAATTAAGAAGAACTGGTGTAGTTTTTTCGTCCAAAGAGGTCTCTCGTGGCTTGACTTCAAATACAGTTGCAAATTCTTCTGGAATCCAATCTCAGCTGGCTGACGTGTTTCGAAAATTTTCTTTGTCAAAGCCAGTATAAAGAAAAGCCTATATCGCTCTAGAGAGTCACCCAGCTTTCATGGCAACAACCTGCAGACCATGGGTTCCGACTTCTGGCGTGTCATTCGGACAAGTTCTTCCAAATTGCATTTATACCTTCAAAACAGTCTGTTATATACCCAGGAGGGTTATGAGATGTACAAGTTTCTTTAAGTTTCTTTAAGCTATTTTTCATTCTATCATAACAGAGAATCTTTGATGCAAGTTAGCATGGTGTGGCTCACTTTTGTTTTACGTAACCTCCAAGTGGTGGCTGGAGATATCCTGGGGTTACAACTGATCTCCAGGTGACAGAGATCAGTTCCCCTGGAGAAAATGGCCACTTTGGAAAGTGGACTCTATGGCAGGGGTGTCAAACATGCGGCCCGGGGGCCAGATGAGGCCCCCAGAGGGCTTCTAACAGGCCCGCAGTGGAACTGGCTGTCTTCTGCTTCTTCTTCATCATTGCAGGTTTGCAGCTTACAGATGCACACCTGAACAGCATACTCAAGATTGCAACAGCACAGACATTTTGGTGTAATAAGTCAGAACAAGAGGTGTCAGTTATCAGACACTGTTAAATAAACAAAATATTGCAAGAGTGCTAATGTTTTAAGCATGTTTTTATTTTAACTAAACCCTTGTCCTTTATAAAGTTTATATCTCTGCTCCCTGGCATTACATTTTATGACACACATGGACCAGCCCAACAAGGTCTCCTCATAACAAATGAGTTCGACACTCCTGCTCTATGGCATTATAACCCACTAAGGTCTCTCCCCTCCCCAAACCTCGCCCTCTTGAGGCTCCACCCCCAAAATCTCCAGGCATTTCCCAACCTGAAGCCAGCAACCCTAAGGTCAGGGTGTGGGGTAGGAGGAAAACAAAGAGGCAAATCAGGATTGTGTAGTTCATTCCACTTTCTGCTTCTCTTTGCAGTCGCCTGGGGTTCTTGGTTTGACCATGTGAAGGGCTGGTGGGAAGCCAAAGACCGCCACCCGATTCTATATCTCTTTTATGAAGACATGAAAGAAGTAAGTAACTGATGTGCAAACAGACCCCGTCCCAGGTATGAAGCTCAGCTACAAAGGAAGTTTTCTGCTGGAAATGCTTCAGGCTATGACTGTGGGCAGGGCTGCCAGCCTCCAGTTGGTGCCAGGAGATGACCTGGGTTTACAATTGATCTCAAGGCAACAGAGATCAGTTCACCTGGAGAAAATGGCTGCTTTGGAAGGTGGACTTTATGGCATGACACCCCATTGAAGTCCCTTCCCTCCCCAAACCCCACCTTCCTGAGGCTCCACCCCCAAAATCTCCAGGCATTTCCCAACCCGGAGCTGGCAACCTTAGCTCCACCCCCCCCCCAAATCTCCAGGTATTTCCCAGCTCAGAGCTGGAAACCCTACAGTTCCATGTAAAACCATGGAATTGACCAGTTGGTTTCCAACAGTTCTTAGGCCTATTCTGCATCCGTTCCAGTTTGTACCCAGATGTCATGCAGCAATGTCAATGTCATTGCTGCCCCAACCCTTGGACTGGCAACCTTATGAAGAGGAGCTGGGGACAGGAGCCATTAAATTCCCAGCAAAAAGCACTCAAACTCTAAGTCCCTCCCTTCCTGAAACCTCACCTTCCAGAGGCTCCACCCCCCAAATCTCCAGGTATTCCCCAACCTGGAGCCGGCAACCCAAGCTGTGAGTGTTTCTCACTGCAGTACTCCAATCAAGATGGAGAAGTACGTTCTGGCCGTGTCCCAGTCAGAAAAAGATGCACTCCTCCCTCTGGTCTCTACCCATTGCTAGGACTTAGCCCAGGAAATCCGGAAGGTGGCCCACTTCCTAGACGTAGAGCTCCCGGAACCAATCTTGAACAAGATCGTGCATCACACTACGTTTGACAACATGAAAGCCAACCCAATGGCTAATTACAGCACCGTGCCTCCTTCCATGATGGATCCAGCCGTGTCGACGTTCATGAGGAAAGGTGAGAGGCAAAGGCTGGGTTTCCGGCCCTGATTACAGTGTGGGAGGGGATCTTATGGGGCTTATGGGTCTCGTGAGAAAACCGAGTGGGGTAGGGTCATGTTCACAAGAGTGGCATAAAGCTTAGCAGAGATACAGAACTACCTGCATAATCTATACATTTTTAGACTCGTAGAAGTAACTAAAGAAAGTACTTTCCATGAAGGTAGATTTAGGCAGGTAGCCGAGTTGGTCTGAAGTGACAGAATGAAGTTTTGAGTCCAGTGTGGACTGTTTGCGGCTGCTGTGGCCAAGGCACAGTGTGGTTATCAGAGAGTTTTTGGGCAAAATGCTAGAGCATCAATCAATGCTCCCTCTAAGCTGTGGAGCCTTGTGAGCAAAAATTCTACTTTGCGAGCTACCGGCATTAAAGTTGTGAGCCAGCGATTGGGCTACTGCATCAATTAGTTCACTCTGGAGCCCTCCTTCCTGAGCTGAGACGAAAATGTGTGAGCCGGAGGCTTAAAAACTGTGAGCTCGCTTGCACTAGCTCAGCTTAGGGGGAACACTGGTGTCAATGTGTGATGTCCCCGGCGTGATGACGTCACTGCCGAGTGATGTCATCGCACCAACCAAATCGACACGCTATGGGACTCTTCAGGGGTGGAGCTTCCACTGCAGGCCAGCTGGTGAGTGGCAGAGTGT